TATAGAACTGTTCTATAATTAAGCTGAATGATGTGACAATTCATGATTTCGTTTACAAAAATGATCAATAACTTGTTTTTCAACTGTACTCAGGTATTAAGAAGCGGTTCAGACGCTTGCAATTGAAAAAAATAAACGTACAAAAAAGTAAACAAGGAGGAGAAAGCAAAAGAATGGTAGCATATATGCTATGAGGCTAAAAGAGGTATTTTTGAATTAGTGTAGATCAATATAAAAAATTCTTTTGATTGCTCTATATGTTTTGAGCTTACAGCTAAATGCTGCAATTTTCAAGCGAAGAAGGTTTTTCAAGCGAAGAAGATTTTAAAGTGCAACGATACAGCGAAAAACTCTGTTTGCTAAGTAATTTTTTGTTTTACTCAGCTGTTTAATGTTGATCAAACTTTTACTGGTATAAACTGTGGTGCTCAACAATAAATTGAAAATATTTTATTGTTTTACTATGCTAAATGGAAAATTTTTGATCCTAGCTTTTCTTGCTTTTTACTAGTGAACGCTTTATCTAAGTGTTGTAGTAAATAAAAAGCAATAGAATAAGAGAAAATTTCTCAGACTTTGTTTGTTTTGCAATAAATATTTGATATAATTATTTGTTTTGCAATAAATATTAATTTTGTCCTATTGGACATTATACCTGATACTACTGCGCCCTCTGTACAAATTACTTAGAAATGGTTTTTGAGAGATGTTCTGGACGACTTTTGGAACTAAAAAAAAGCTTCCTGGTAAAATTCAATTCACCATCTTGTAATAAAGATAATAATATTAATTAGTTTTAGTAGTTTTATTTCAAAAAGTACAATTGAAATATGATAAAATATGAGAAAAATTCTTTAGACTTTGTTTGTTGTTCAGCAGGATATGCAAATTATGCTTTGATTCAAAAAAATTATTTGATCTCTTGAAAATTCACAACTTTTATGTAAATATGAACTCAGATAGTAGTGTACTTAGTTTTGAAGCTTCGTGATGTTTTTATACCGCTATTTTTTGCCATGAAAAATCAAGTTGTCAAAATCATAATATAACTACTCAAAAGAATATTTTGGGAGCTTTCTGCACCTTTGTCTTACAGCTAGCCAAATATGTTGCCTCTTTTTGTGAAAAGCTTTCTGTAGATTTATTTAAACCATTTTTGGTAGCTTAATTCAGCACTATAAATTAGCATTTATATGAGTTCCATTGCTAATGACCTTGATAAGTAAGGAAAGACTATTTCTCCAGTTTATGAGATGAAAAAGTTATGCTAAGAACTAGAACACTTTTTTAGCCTTTTACACAAATCAAAACAAAATTGCACATTATATTCTGTACCTGTGTGCTAAAAATTCTAACAAAACAGTTTCTGCAGTAAAAAATTTTATTACAAAACTTCGTTGAGTTTCTCAGTCAGAGCAATGTCATACAAAGGTGGTATAGTAATTTAATAAAATCGGCGTTATCAGGTTACAAAACAATAATCTGTTACATTTGGAGTTTTTTACTTCTTATAGGTCAGTTAGAGACATTCTGTGTAACTTGATCAGGGTTAATACAGTCTTGAAGTTTTACTGACGATTTTCTCTGTAAGAAGGCTCTCCATAACCATTGTTTTGGTGTCCTGGATTTTGGTTACCATTAGAAGGTTGATTCAAATCAGGATGCTGGTTGCCACTTGGGTACTGCTTGGTGCTTGGAAACTGATTATCAGTTGGGAACTGGTTGCCGTTTGGATACCAAATGTTGTTCAGGTACCAGTAGTTGTTCGGATCCCAAATGCT